CGCTTTTTATCAAACATCAAATACTCGAGTTAAGTCTGATATTTTCTAGAGAGTATGCTACAATTTAATTCTTAATCATAATTCTTAATTCTTTATCATCGATCACCCAAGTAAATTAAATACGAAGACCCACCTATCTTCAGACTACTAAAGTTTGCCACAATATTTCTACACACTCTATGCACTACAAACAGTCGCTTGGCTGAAACGGTGGCCATGTTGCGCACAAAAATGGAACCATTGTAGCACATCCCTTACCAGTGTCTTTCGGGTGATCCGAATGTTACGGCAATAGCGCCATATCTAGCAAACATCTGTTCCGCGAGGAAATGCTCCGGTTGCAGTTTTCCAGTAGTCTAAAGTGCCTCCACCGGTGTAGCAAACGCCATACATGCGCCCTCGAGGGATGTCATGATCGCGCAGTCACTTGTTTCCCTGCGATTCGATCAATTGCGCCGACACCATTGTAATTTGTAGCGTCTCTATCTGGGTTTGTCTGGAACCGGTTAACGAGGCTGAGCAATCGGAGAAGAAACGATCTCGTTGCCCCCAACCGAGCCGATTAATCTGCTCTTCGTCGAGAGTCGAGCGCTCTGGACCGCTGCGTCAATGGCGTATTATCCTGTAAATAAATGTATCTTCCACTGGTTCGTTCTGTTGGTTAAAATTTATCCAAATCGATGGATTGGTAGGAATGACCTTGTGCTTTAACCACCTCGCTCACTAGATTTAACAGCCTTAGACTATTATTTATGGTGACACGTGGAAAGCATAGTGTAGAATGAAATTCCAAAAACTCGTGAAGATAGAACACACTGTTTTAGAGTGGTTTAGTAGTATACTTGTATATTATTAGGCATAGTAATTCTTTAGTGGAACTATTTTTTCTCGAGTTCTGCGAGGTCACAGTGCGCCACTGCACGCGTGCCGTTACCTTGGGAATATTTTCATCCAGCTCATTTCGGTCTTACGCTTCCATCCTCGTGGATCGCGAAATAAAGTAGCCTCGAACACACGATGTAATTAATTACAGCGATCTGATTGCGCTCAATTAATCCCGCCGTCTTGCCGGCGGATCATTAATTAAGAGCAGACGAATGTCTCCGGGATGTAGACACTCGAGGATACGCTCATTTATTTGGAATAATTTACTTTGAATTACCGTACCCGGAGCCTGCTCCTTACGCTAGATCCTCGGGATAAATTGTCTTTTATCAACTCGTTGGCTCCTTATCGATGGATTACGTTACATTCGAGGTTCCATATTTCTGCGACACTTCTAGACACGTCTCTTGACGATATTAGTGAATCATTAGGCGGACAGGTGAATCAAAGATTTCTCCAAGAATCTCTGCAATCTCCTATGCTCGTATCTCAGAATTCGAACTTGATAGACCTGCTCTTTTAATAACTCGTGCTTCGTTCCCACAAATATTCCGCGGGCGTAAATCTTCTAAAAAGGAGCTTCAGCACCGAAAATTGTTCGTTCCTCAGTCTCCAGAGAAATTTCCGTGGTCTAGCCGCCGCAGAAATGCAATTATCATTCGGCGCCGCACGGAGAGGAAGTTCTCCCCCGGACTGGAATTCCTCGCGACCACTCTCGTCCCGTTAAGTTTTTATTTATACGGCCTCGACGTGTTTCTCCTGCAACGCAACTCAGGTTTTCCCGTTCGTTACTCGAGTCCTCCCTCTTGAATCGAATTACCCTCTGTTCAGCGCGGAGAAAAAGAGAAGGCGTGCCCGATCCTGGCCACTTGCTCGATTATTCCCACTTCCGGGAGCTTTTGTCTTATCGCCGTATTCACGAGGTATGTCTCAAACTCCTTCCATTATTTATTACCTTTCTAACATATCTGCACGATGTTCCAAGGGGGTGGCGTTAAAAGACAGCTAGGAGAATAAACTTCACGTGACAGGATCTGTACATTCCGAGAAATGAGGAATTGATCGTTATTGAAAAATTCGTCGTTGATTTTCAGGGTGCCCTCAGGGGCTGTAGCATGCGTGTACGCAGCTACAGTACGGGTTTAGCAATCCCGAAGTACCCGAGCTACAGGGGGGCTAGAGGGTCGTCGCAGATATGAAAATTAAGAGATAATGCAAAGAGTATTAAAACAATGCAGGAGTTATATAATACAAAGTAATGATAAGAAGAATGGGAATAATATTTAAGCAGAACTTTAATAAATAACGGAACGGATTTTCATGGTGTTATCCAAAAAGGGCTATTTACGAACATTGTCCTGTCTGCTGGCGCCTGAATGAAAGCTCCTCGGTTCTTGTCAGATTTCTCGGTTACCCACGTCGCGCGCAACCTCTGCTCATGAGATCGAGCGGCTTAATAACATGATTCAAGGAGCGGCAGCGATCGGTGCATTAAGGTCAGCTGGGTCGAGGTTTATAAAGATAATAGCCCAGCCACCGACCGATCGACGAATAAGTTCTCTCATGTCCAAGTATGTAACGCGCGCGAAAGATTCGACGCTCTTCGCGTCCAAGTTTAGGAGACTTATTTTACCTATAATCCTCCTGCTTTATAATGTGGCTACTTAACTCCTGTTTAATTAACGGGGCTGCCTACTCAATCTTTGAGACACGGTGAAAAGGCTATGTAACTCTGGATCGTGAGATCGTCGCGTGTCCTGGACGAAGTAACTCGCTAAACGCCCGTCCACCTTTCGAGGTCCCCCTGACGAGTAAATCGAGCGTCGATCGAGGTGCTCGGCAACGGGTCACGGGGGTCAGGCCACGCAAAAATAATAATCAATCGAACGACTAGTAAGCGAGAGTCGGGCAATTACGCGGTGGCGGCGGTGCCTGTGCTGCGGTTTACCCGGGCCAGGAGGAACGAGGACAACCGAGGCCTCCTGCCGCCTTTAATTCACCTCCATCGCCCTCCTGGCAACCCTCTCTCCCCCTATCGTAACGCAACAACTCGGGACTCCTTCGCTTTATTATTAAAAGTTAAAATTCCGCTGGGAGCCGGGCCGAGATCTTGCGGCTAGCGGCTCCTTCGCCTCCAGACTTCTTTCGTCTTCTCTCCCCCTTGCGAGCGGCCTTCGTCTTTTATAAAGTCGTGCAAACGCTCGTTGCCGGCAATCTCCAGCATCCGGCTGGCATTTACGCGCCCGTTCTTTAAGTCTCCGACCGTTTTGACTGACGTCCCGCCGGCGGACTCGTGAACGCCACGAAGGAGCCTCGCAGTAGTGACTGCAGGCTTGGGAGAATTTGCGGAATGGATGTTGCTTGGGAAATTGTTAGGGGTTTCTTAAGTTCGCGATTGAATGATGTTAGGGAGTCCTTTATTTATAAGAATAATAAAAGTCGTCTCACCAGGTGTTCAAGAGATATAGGAGGAAAGGAGAAACAAAGAACACTACTGTTAAAAAGATATGAATGAGCCGTTCACTGCACAAATCGATTAACTCCACTTTTTGAAAAATCTTATTTAAGTGTCAAAGCACTTGGTATAGTCAAAACTTTTTATATTTATACCAATTTTCCTGAGTAAGAAAGATTAACAACCATTAAACAACAAATGCAGTTTCATGGAGTTAATCGATTTGTGCAATGAACGGCTCAAATATAAGAACGTGTGTTGACACAGAGGTGAACCTTTACCGAATTTAAACAGGAAACGCGTCCAATAACGTGCAACGAAAGAGTAATGATCGATAGGTGGCGTAAACCTCCGAAAACGTCGAAACTAGCGCGATATACCTAAAACTGGTCCGACTAAAAAAAAGAAAAGAGCAACAAAATAGCTGGCCCAGTTGAGCGTACCGAGCAGCAATAAAATTCGCAGCTCTCGTCGATGGCGAGGATCTCGTATTCGCTCGAACAGCGATTTTTTCCCGTGGCGCGTACATCGTCGGCTGGCAAGCGGAATTGTCGAAAGGCGGTAAAACTGTCCGACGAAGAGCAAAAAGGGTTGCGAGCCGCGCGAATTACGGCTACGCCGGGATGGCTGTTTACCCGTCGACTGATTGGAACGGAAATCTCCGCGGTGGATGGTTTTCCGCGACGGAATATTTAAACGGAACAGGAGTCGACCCAGTCCGGAAAACCGCAACTCGTTTCCTCGTCCGCTGTAATTCTTTGCCACTGGATACTACATTTTGAGGGTTCATAAACAAACGAATCCAGGACCAATTTCAGTCTGTTCTAAACCGAGACTACAACCGTGAGAACTACATAGATTCGAACTAGATTCGAGAGTCCTCCATCGACGAGCGACATCGTGGCCTAATAATTAATTCGTCAGTGTACGATTTTTTTTTCTCCACGCGAGCCTCGTTCCCGAAGGGGTATACATAGATTGTTCCGAGAACGCGATGGAATCGATCTCGAACAGGGCTTTTTGCACCGGGGCGGGGATCGTTCGATGGTTAACGACTCGACGACGCGATATAGCCGCCCTCTACGACGACGATCGCGAGTAATTCGAGCGATTCGCGCGATTACGTATTATGCTAAACACGCGAAAATGGCTTTTTAAATGGAACATCTACATTTATGCGGTCCCCACTCCTCCTGTGCTCCCCTCGATCACGGGCCAGGGCTCGGGAACGCGTAAGCACCGTCGAATTAAACGCAATTTTCGTCCAAGCCGAGGTATGCATAACAAATTGTCGAAGGACTGAACGTCTTTATACTTTGAAACCGACCGTAGCCATTATAGACGTAGCACGGGGGCAAAAGCGGTGGCTCCGTCCCCGTCGACGATTACAATCCGATCATTATTCCTGCATAATGCCAGCACCCTCCTCCTTTTGGTGGTTCTCGTCTCCTCGTGTACTCACCTGCCTTAGAACTCGAGCGAATCCTAATCAGTCGCGTCTCGCGATAATAAGAGCGAAAATGGCTCGATCCACCCGTCCGCGAAATTGAAAATTAAACGTTTCGCGGCTCTGGCCCGAGAATTCTCCGATCCAGGAGCGTGGTTTAACTGGTATGCTTTTTTCTGTTCCATGTGCTGCCCGGGCATCCCGTCCCCCCAGGATCCGACGTCCGTGAGTATGGGTTATTACGTATCACGAAATGTTGCAAAGTATTGCCTGCAGGAGAAGAGGTATCAAGGTTGCACGGTTAGGTTGGATTCACACTATCCGCCAAGCGATCGTGCGAAGAGATGTTCTTCAATAGATTTTCAAATCTGATTACCAATAAATTGATTACCAATCTATTGAATTGGATTCATTATTTAACCTTTTGAGTGCCAGAGGAAATTTTCGTACATATCCGAGAAATGCCAAACAATTTTAAGCAAAGATGCGTGATTGTAAACAAAATGCTGCTTGGCCCTTTTTGCAAGTATATAAAGAAGCGATATATCGCTCCTTGGAATTCAAAGAATTAAATAGTCTACTACTCTAGATCTCCCTCTCACCATTTTTTAATTCATTTTTTTCCATCAATTAAACCTAATCAACCTAACACCCGTTGAATAATATTTTGATGGATCTTTGATGGATGATTGCCCCATGGGTAGTGTGAATTCAGCTTTAGCGCGAACAGGTTTCGTTCTTGTCGCAAGGGCCACGTGAGTCCGATTTCGAGCCCGAAAAAAGTCTCGCGCGTATCGCGTTTCGTTCATTGCCACGCTGCACCGCGAATGCTCGTTCGATTGGTTATCCAAGAACGAAAAAGTGGAACGGACGTGCAACAGCTTCGAAATTCAACATTCCGCTATAGCGTCTTTATTGAATATCTAATAAAGTTTCGTTATTTTAATTAGTTGAATTAAGTTAAATTTCAGTTAAACTAAGACGAGAGGTTTTCTGGTTTCTGTTTCATATCTTCCGGACCGATCTCTCGGACGAACCCGCGCATCATCCATCTTCCACGGTACCGAACGGATCTCAGGGCGTAAGTAGCATTCAATTTCCTACAATCGTAATTGCACGCTCTCGGCGGCACTCCAGGTAGATAGCGCTCAAAACGCGCATTAAGCATCGCTTTTTACCGATTCGAGCGTACACGATTCGGTTATGCAAACAGTGTACCAGCCCCGAAGACGAGGCTGACAAGCGAAAGATCACTTTGTTGTTGCTCGCCCGCGTTCCGAGAGGTTAAAGGGAGAGTACGGAGCGAGCGTTTACTTGCACGAGCCGATAATCATCGTCGAAACGCTCGGAGATATGCCTCCCCCGATGGCATCGCGTGAAGACGACTACTTATTGAATCCTCTGGCCGCGCGTAACTAGCCACGAAGCAGGAAACCGGCGCCGTACCAACGGACTAATTACTCGGTAATAACGATACTCGGGGGCGAGGGAGTGACTGACCGTCGGTTATAATTTATAGGGAAACTTCTTCGAAGGAAAAGTGGTTCCGCACGCGATCGATGTTGGGTCACTCCGTGACAAATCGATCACTCCTCGCAGACGATATCAGGGATTGGTTGAAATTGAAAGACGATACGGTGAGCGAATAATTAGAGCTGTGTTAGAGATATTGGAGGACTATGAAGGGAATTTTAGTTTTATGAATTTTTACTTCTGAGCCTATGACTAACGACCTATAGTCAATAGCATACATACTCGCACCCTCTATGTCTATCGAAGAAGTTTGACTAAATTAAATAAGAGTTTTGATATTACCAAATGAATGTTTCATTATAAATATGTATATGAATAAACTTATGTATCTATATATTTATATATACATCAACATATTGATACAAACATACACTTGGAAACCACCATTTAATTTAAACAAATTTCTTCAGTAGATATGGAGAGTACCGATATCTATGGGACTGATTGGTATACTTTTTAGCAAGATCGAAACCAGTAACATGACGACTAAAATCCTCCAATTTAACATGGTGCATCATATTTCAGTCCGATCGAAATTCCTTGCATCGAGCAAGAAGAATCCTCGACCAATGACCCTTTCCCGTGTGGATCGTTCGGTCGCGATAAATCAAGATCTATCGTGCTCCCCTGAAAATCGCGATCGGCCGCGACAATAACATCATACGCCGCGCAAAACACAGGGATCGTTATCGTACGTTTGTTTCCCGCGGCGGATCCGTTCCCGCTGCGAGAGCACTGACGACGAGCGCACAGCTGTTCTTGTCAGTATCTCGATGCATCACGATAAATCCGGCGAGTTCCTTTTTCGTTGGGTTCCGATGCACTCGCTCGCTCGCACGCTCACCGTGTGTCCTACCCGATCCAGCGGACAAGATCGGGTAAAACCGAGCGCGCGTGTCTTCTCATGCAGGACGACGGTATAATCGCTGGATCGAGGCCCTCGGTTAGGTCTCAATTAAGCGGCAGATTTATATCGCTAGACTCCTCTCCTACAGCGATTATCGCTCGAGATTGCATAATGAGACGCGATCGTCACCGAGGAAACACCCCGAAATTACGCTCGTCGCAATACTCGCGATTAATTCCTAATCGATTCATTCCGGTCTAATTCGGGCACAATACAGTGGATTTTGTGGTCTGACATTTTTGTTAGTATTTATAGTATCGTGTATGTTGGGAACTACATATTCATATGGACGAGTTCTTTCAGGGATGAAGAAGACAAGTGCTGGTAGATTGAAACTAGTTAGTGGAAGTCATTAGTCGCTCGACGCCGAAGCGAGGATTCCTCGTGAAATTAGGATTGAAATAGGGGGCGTTTGAGACATCGCTTAGCTAGCTTGGAATTTGTTTCAAAAATACATGACGCTCCAAGCTTGAAGCACTTTTCAATTCTCCAAATTCCCACGATCGAGGCAAAGAGGACGCCGCGACGCTGTGTGCCGGATGGCCCCCCAAACGATAAAAATCCCGCGATCGGTATCGGCGCGGGTTTCACGCATCGGAGATGAAAACTCGACTCGCGGCGCGTACAAAAGCGGGGCCCTCGGGCCGAGAAGCGAGGCCACGAATACGAAATGACGGGACGGATATCTGACGTCTCTATAGTAGTGAAACGGCGTGCATGCGTGGCCGTTGGCTCGACGGGGGTCCCGGAGACGTCGTCGGAGACATCGGACGCCGCGGGCGGCCATTGTCTCAAGGGAGTCTCAAGGGCGCAGGGCCCAACCCCGGCTGACACGCACGAGGGGGTCGCTACGCCCCGTCGCGGGCCCCCGAACCAAATTAATAACCGAAACTCGAGTATTCCTATTTCAGGCGAGGAGTTATCGGGCCCGAGCCCGGCTCACCTGAGACCTGTGTCACACCCACGCGATTCCTGGCCACGAAAACCAGCCCCGTGTCCCCGCGGCGAGTGACTTATGACCCCGATAAACGATATTTACGGCGTAATCGTTAATTAAAATATATTGGAGGTAGCGGTGCACTGGAAACGAATTCGCGGGGATCGCGCGAACGCGTGCCGAGGAACATGCTAATAACTTATTCGGGATCTGGCGATGCTGCTGGGAAGCAATTCCTTTATAAAAAAATATCAAGTCATTTCTCGCAGTAGTGCACTGTTCGATAAGGCCATTGTATCGACAGCCAATCGAACTGCCTCGCCAACTCCCGAACAACGAGCTATACCTCTTAAACTTTCTCGAATGCGCATCACCGTCGTCCAATTTCTCATCGGCTGATAATTAACGCGCGCGTATAGATATCATCGCGGGTAATCGCGCAGGCGTTTTCGGATAACACGAACGCGGGCCGCGGCAATTTGTGAAACAAGAATCATCAGCCTCGTTCGCGTTTACTTCGTCCTCCATGCGCTCGCATGCACACACACATATGGCGACCTTGTCACTTTTTTTGTTCTCTTTTTCCTCTCCAGCGTCGCCTCGGTATATCGCGAGCGGCGCTATAAGCGGGCAATTAAAAGCGTGCAGCAGGGACATTTATGTCGGCACTAACTGCCCGTTAAGACGGAGGAACCACCTAACCGTGGAAGGTGTAATTGGCCGACGTGCTGAACCCGCAGCTCGTAAAACAGCAGGCGTGCCTGCCTGGGAGCAGTTTTTCCGCTCGCCTCGCTCTCTGGGAATCGCGTTTCGCTCAATTTTCGATTAATACACCCATCCTCCTCCACTGATCCTATCTGGATATCGCCAAGATCGTAAAATCGTGGTTGATTCATAGCTAGATCATATTCGCACCGTGATGGTCACATCGCAGACACTAATAGTACACTACTGCCAAATCACGCGTTTTAACCGCTGGTTAGAGCCGTTTTATAAGTTTTAGATAGTCGCTGTGGCTCTTCTACAGAGCAGAGGTTCAACTGGAGGCGGAAAATCCATGAGACTGGTGCGGTTAGCGAAAGCCAGCCAGCCTCTATATTATAATGCGGCTCGTTACGCTGCCCCGGCTGCGAGATATACGTACCGGCGGCAATCCATTTCTCCCTCGCGGCTTCGATTAAAATGCCAGACGTCGGGAGGAGAGATTCCCCCCGATACGCGATATTGTTACGCGTGTACACGTTGTAACTGTCCGGATCCGTGACGGAGTCACGCGATATGCATTATGCACGCACGTAACGCGGCGGCACCGCCGGCAGACGTTTCCGCAATCACTCCCACGATGCACCGTCGCGCCGATGACGATTGCCCGTTTGTGAGAAACGAGTCATCGATGCTCCATATTGCCTTTCCCAACGCTCCTCGTGCCCAAACAGAAATTGGCTCTCGGAACAGTCTTCTGTTTCGTCTGGAAGCTTTTTAGCGAGCCAATGAAAACGTAGCGAATTTCATCACATTTTTATCGAGTACTGTAGACATCGATCAATTCAGGTTAATTTAACAGATTGGCGTATGACGACTCGAAATCTATGAAGCATAGTGTTTGATATGCGATGGGCACATATTTTCTTTTATTTACCAAACTGACAAATTTGCCAGAAACCCTTCTTTCTCTAAATTTTTCACTTGAAATTGAAAATGTACATATTCACTTATCCATAGTCTCTTTTAGAAAAAGGTTCCAACACAAAACATTACCCAGGTTTCAGTACTGCAAAGTTCTATAAATAACAAAGTTAAACTCCCTTTCGAGAGTTGATTCTCGAAATAAAGCATCGTAAGGAAAGTGGAACAGTTTAATCCTCAAGGTAAACTCCCTCCCTGTTGTTATGCCTTCGTAAAAACGATTCCGTCTAGCGTAGCGAGTCGGAAGATGCTTTTACTGTCGCATGAATTTAAAAAGTAATTACGGTTGTCGTGTAGTGCAAGTGGTTTGCGCGCAAGTTCAAGTGTAAATACAAGGAGGGATATCTTTATTGCGGCTAATTTCTTGCGTGTTCGTTATTCCAGGAGAGAACGACTCGTAGAAAACGCGTTAACGCCCCGCAAGGGAGAAAAGGGGCTAACGAAATAATCGTTACGATCGCTCGCGATAATTACTATCATTTCGCCCCGTCATTCTCAAAACTAATTGAAGCACCGCGATTTCAAGTTCATTCGATCCGTAAGGGTAATCTTATTGAGCCTCGAGAAGCTAAGCGTTCGTTTATGGCTGTAACCGTTGAGGGCTAGTTAATTTTTGAAAGGTAATCGGTGCGAAGAAACCTGGAAAATAATGTAGATGGTGTTCTAAATTTTCAAGCAATAGGAGAGAAAGTAAGTTGCCCTTGCAACCACAAGATGTTTAACTTTCGAAACTTTGAATAGTAATACGTTTTGTCGATGTTTCGGTCAATTTATGCTGGCCCACTTGCAAACTAATTACACGCACGTTCTTGCGGATGTTGTGTGGTATTCCTCGAAATGATCTTGGACAAAATTGGTAGGTAGAGTACCAAAGAAGATAATTTTCTGAACAGTATCGTGGTTTAAACAAGTTTTTTTTTTTTATTTACGAAAAAACACCGACACGATTTTAATTTTCATGA